GAGTAACTTAAAATTATCGGCATTCCAGAACAAGAAGAATCACACAAGTCCACAAAGGAAATAGTTGAAGAACTGCTGGAAGAAAATTTCTCTAACATCCTGAAAACTGAAAAGATATACAATTCAAGAAGCTCAACAAATCCCAGGAAGGATAGGCCCCAAAAGAAAATCACTGAGACATATATTAAATAAACTCTACAAAATAAAAGATAAGGAGACACTCTTGAAAGCAGCTAGGGAAAGCAGAAGCATCACATACAAAGGCAAGCAAGTCAGATTAAGCTCAGATCTCTCAGCAGAAACCATGCAAGCAAGAAGCAAAGGGAAGACATATATAAAACCCTGAAAGAAAAAAACTGCTAACCAAGAATCCTTTATCCAGCAGAGCTATCCATCAAATACGACAGTATAATCAAAACATTCCAGGATAAACAGAAACTAAGTGATACTGCCAAAGCCAATCCTGCCCTAAAAAACATCCTAAAGGGAGTTCTGTGGATTGAGAACCAACAAGAACAGACAACAACCAGAGATTGACATACATGGCAGCACCTCCCAGAACTAAATCGACAGAAGGAAGAGTTGAGAACAGAACAAAACTATTAAGAACAAACTCAGAGAATCTGGGAGGTCAGTCTATGATCAAAACAATGTAAAAAAAAGATAAACATGTAAAAACAGAGATCCAGATAGTGAGAAGGTCAGGTAGATTGCAGGATAAAATAGACTGCACTAAATGGAGGAAAAAGTTAATGGACTATAAGGTAACCTCAAAGAAAATTAACTTTCCACAACATACCAAAAAAACGAAAACCCAAGAAAAACATGGAAACATTAACACTATTCAGAAAATTACAAGAACACAAAAAACATGAACTCAGCAGAGGAAGACATACAGAACAAAGAAGCAGAAGCACCAAAAATAAATAAATAAAATAAACAAAAACAAACATGATGGCAAAAGTTAATACATATCTATTGATAATTACACTAAAACCAAACGGCCACCACTCATCTGTTAGTTTGTTGTACTGTGGTGGCTTGTGA